AGGGGAATGGCCTTTTGTGAGACGAACCTGCAAAAACCCCCCTTTTTTGGGTTTTTTTTTTTTTTTTTTTTTTTTTTTGTGAAGGTCTCCAGCCATGGCAGGAGGTCTCTTTGCCATAGAGAGAGACTTCTTCTTTGAGCTGGGTCTCTATGATCCAGGACTGCAGATATGGGGAGGAGAGAACTTCGAGATATCTTATAAGGTAAGCTTCTCCGACGCGCCTGCTGTCGATAGGCTCTGACGATGACGATGACGACGGCGATGATGGGGGTTTCGCAGTCTCTCGCAGTAATGTCTGTCTCCCGCACATCCTTCACCTACACAGATCTGGCAGTGTGGTGGTCAGCTGCTTTTTGTGCCGTGTTCACGTGTCGGCCATATCTACAGACTACACGGATGGCAAGGGAACCCACCACCTGCACATGTGGGCTCCTCACCCACTCTGAAGGTAGGACCATGTGTTGACAGATAGGCCACGATGTGGAACCTATTAAAACAATACTTGCGAATAAGTGACTTCTTGACTTGGTCTTTCAGAGGAACCACCTGCTTGATAATGTTTATTCTTCTCTGGATAAAAGCATCTGCTAAAATGCAAATTGTCTTTGTTTCCTAACAGAAACTAAACAGAAACATTGGGTTTATGCAGAGTAGCCGTTCATTAGGGAACATTTTATGGAAAACTACTATTGTTGTGAAGACACTTGTTGTTGTCCTTTGAGGATATTTTAGGACTCGGGATTTAGTGCTGAGATTAGGGAAGGGCAATAGGATCGGTTAGAGTTAGGAAAGGATTCATTTTTCCCAGATATTTGTAAATGTTGAGCTCAGGGTAATGGGGGGATAAAGAGGTGCGGTGGAAGGATCCCTGCCTCCCACCTTGGGTAAATAAATTATGTCTCACACAATGTACCTAAAAAAAAAAAAAAAACCACAAAACACCTCTGTGTGTGTGTGTGTCTGTGTGTGTGTGTACAGAACTACGTCCGTGTGGTGGAGGTGTGGTGGGATGAATATAAGGACTTCTTCTACGCCAGTCGTCCGGAGACTCTCACTCTGGCCTATGGAGACATCAGTGATCTTAAACGTTTCAGGTAAACAAAGATTGACTATATGGAAAACTCGTTTACATATATTACTTCTTACCGGTATTCTTTCTGTTTCCATTTAACAACTCTTCTTTTTTTTAAAAAAAAAATTTAAATCATTCGACTTATACCCAATACTTTGTCAGGGAGGAACATCGATGCAAAAGCTTCAAATGGTTCATGGAGGAGATAGCCTACGACATCACAGACCACTACCCTCTGCCTCCTAAAAATGTCGAATGGGGGGAGGTAAGTACGCAATCACAGGTACACGTAGTGGAAGGAATACCTGTCTTTCAGGGTTTGTGTATGGAGGGTTCTAACCTGTGTGTGTGTGTTTGTTTGTTTGTGTGTGAGTGTAGATTCGAACACTTGACACCAGTTACTGCATTGACAGTATGGGACACACCAACGGAGGCAACGTGGAAATCGGACCGTGCCACAGAATGGGTGGCAACCAGGTATTAGGAGTTTTAAAGTGGCCTGTTGGTTGGTCTAGAGCAGGGGTCGACCGGTCAAAATGTTCAAAAAGACCCATATTGGACCAAAAAAAAACAAAAAGGAAATCTGTCTGGAGCTGCGAGAAATGAAAAGCCTTATATAAGCCTTACATGAAGGCAACACAGTGTGTTGCATTTATGAAGGATTGATTCAAAGATTGCCAAATACATACATACCATACATTCATGTTCATGTAATTGTCAAGGATGACATTCCATGGTTCGAACACCAGTTTGTCCGGTTTGGGAAGGTTTTCAACATAACTCCATTCGAGATTCTGAGCAAGAACGAAACAGTCTCTTCAGCGGTAACAGCAAATGAATCTACCCACGTAGCATTAAACGTTCTGTTTTCTTCATAAACTTTTCTATGATTTATCCATCATTTACCTAGCAAGGGTCGATAAGATCAATAAATCACGCTGGAGGTGTAGGTGCTGGATAAATCTGCGCTGCAAGATATGTGCTGGGCGTCGCACGTCGACAGATGTAACGCATATTTTGAGTGACAAAAAAATCATGTTACAAGATTATCATAATCTTCAAATTTAGAATTATTATTTAAACTAAAATAAAAAATACATTTTAATAAGATACTCATTTTTTTATTTTCCATATTATTGTCCTATAGTTCAAAAACTTGACGTGATAGAGAAAAACTGAGATCAGTTTTGGATTTCGCACCTGAAAATTTGGTAAAAAAAAAAGAGCTGTCAGACCTCACTCAACAATAATTGTGTTCCCCCGTGTTATTCTTTTAAAATTTACAACAACAAAAAACCCAGAAACGGACAAGAAAACATTTACATCTACTGTTTGTATTATGATTTGATAAGAACTTGCGCCGTTGAATTCATGGTTGTGTGTGAGAACACATCTTCTGGGGGACGCTCGCCAGACGGCTCAGCTCATAAATCTTCACTACTTAAGATATTTCAATGTCACCGCTGCTTTATTTCACATTATGGCACTTTAATAGCAATTTTCATTTTTTGTTTAACACCGACATCTGTGATCTGTGTCTGAGCATGTGTTTGTCTGTGTGTTGGGTAGTTGTTCCGTATCAATGAAGCGAACCAGCTGATGCAGTACGACCAGTGCCTGGCCAGAGGACCGGATAATTCCGCCGTCATCATCACGCACTGTGAGAGGAACCAGCACACTGAGTGGAAGTACTTCAAGGTAACGCCCACCAGGATCTGGCAGTAAGTACTGGGCTCATCTTACCCTCGCCCCGCGTGCCCTGCGTTGGCACACCCCTGCCAGTCCTGTCTGCCGAATGCTTCTTTAGCTCAGCGCCTCATGTCTCCGTGATAGCGACGTTCAGGGACATGCTAATGTGCCTCAGGTCAGGTCACATTCATGGAAGAGAAGGCGGATTTCTTTCGTTCCCCCATTTTCTCGCCTTGTTTCTTGCTGGTGTTAACGTTTTGTGCTTCCCCTTTCTTCATCTTTATCGAAACTACTGACATCTGAACTGCTCAAATGGCAACACAGGGGCAACCACACTTGCTTAACAGCAAGAAGATCACTCATTTATTTTCTGATCCAGGGGTTCTGAAACTTTTCCGTTTTCAGCACTGTATGATCCCACTGATTAATAGACGTTCAACAAATTAACAGATAAGAACAGAAGAAACAAAAACAAACAAAAAAAAACTCAAACCTCTCCCTTGTGTGCATGTGTTAGTCTGTCCATGGTGCGTTCAGTACCATTGGAAACTTGAGAATCCGACCATTAAGGCAGTTTAGGTGTTTAGGGGCATGTGGTTATTTTTTTTCTGAGGATCATCTTGTGCCCCCTGGTGGTCCAAACTGTTAAAACGACTGTTCTGTCTATTTTGATTGACAGAACAGCCAATCAAATGCTAGCATAAAAGCACTAAATGCTTTTAGCATTTAATAATTATCTGTTTCTACATGTGGCCCTGTAATTGGCTGGTAAACTCCCCCAGGTTGTAGCCTCCTCTGAGATGACTGCTGGGAGTTGCTATGACAACCCTTAACATAGATAAGTGGTTGAAGATGAATGAATGAATATGTACATATGTTTATGATATCAAAAGAATAATAGTTAATATAATAGATAGATGTAAGTATAGAAGTGAAAATCAACTTAAAGAGCAAAGTAATTGCACTTTGTTTTAAATTTCTGGCACACATTCGTATGATTTTAGAGGAAGCCAAAAAGTCTCTGTGTGAAAAGTTTAATCCACTGTCCTTTTGGTCTCCACAGGATCTTCATCGGTTCACTCATGTACCAACAGGTAAATGTCTTATTGTTTTTTGCGTGATAAAAAGCACCGTCATTGACAATTAGGCAGATTGACCGCTCTCTTATGATTCACAATAACTGTTGAAAGTGATGACGGGTCGTCTGCTCTCTCGACACAGGGAAGTGTCTGGACCGTTCCGATCTGCTCCACAAAGTCTTTATATCGGACTGTGACACCAGCAAAACCACTCAGAAATGGGAGATGAACAACATTGTGGCGGTGTGACGAGGACCAGGATAAACAGAATGGTCTTTCAAACGCTGGTTGAAATCATATGCCAAGAAACACATCCATCCATTCATCCATCCATCCATCCATCCATCCATCCATCCATCCATCCATGCTACATGTTTACAGAGTTTTGTGGAGAATCCGTTTCTCATCATGAGCCACTCATTTGTCAGCATGGCTACGAAAATGAAGGAGTCCACAGCGATAACAATTACGACAAATGAAGATTCTGTCAGTCCAAAACCTTTCACCTCAAACTGTCAGCTACTACACTCACAAACTCACACACACTCACACACTCACACACTCCAGAGGTTGTACGTGATGCTGCAAATACTAGTGATATTGGTGGCTAGATGGACCTGTGGTCCAGTGTTTGAAATTGTCAGCTTGTTTGTTTTCTAACTCCCGTGATGCACTCTGGTATGTCCAGAAACCAAAGATGAAACCAGAACCAAGGGGAATTGAAGCTGTTTTTCTAAAGAAAATTTTTAGGTAATTCAATCTAACAATTAACAAAAAAAATAATTTGGGATTTACATAAATGAGTCCAGCTTTTAACCCAAACTGGAATGGAAACATGTTGAACTCCGCTCTTATTTTGTTTGTTTTTTTTTCTTTAGTTGATTTTTGGCAGATCTGAGCCACTACATCAATCACTAGCCTGATTGCACTGCATAGAACCAGGAGGTTTTGGGATAAGGGACTTAACCTGGAAACAAATTGGTCTTTGTACAAAAATGCTACATTGTACCTGTATTTCTTTGCCAGTCAATGTCTTTTTAAGATGATGAAAATACATCTTCTGATGTAAAAGAGAAAAAGCCCAAAAATCCCCAAATATTTTTCCTTACAGAAAATAAACAAAAGTGCCTGGACTTTAATGCAGAGTCCATCTGTAATGGTTAAAATAATTGAAAAAAAAAAACAAAAACAAAAATCCACACACTCCAAAAGTCTATTTGTGCCCTAGAGGAGGCAAAACTTAGACCATCTTTACATTTAAGGAACTTAAATTAAAGAATGAATAGATAATGGTTAATTTTGTTACCAAGTTGTTGACTAAAGGTTAACGTTTTACCTGACCTTGTGCTCTGTTTCCTGGATAATACACTGAATTATCAGATGTGGAGACGGATGTGTTGATGCTTTAGAGGAAAACACGCTGGTGTAAGTGAGGACTTGTAACCTTCCTGCCTTACTGACAGTCTCAGTGACAAATTCAGTAGCTGACCTGTTGACTGTGATATAGTAACTGCCCGAGACGGCAGGAACATTAGGAATAAAAACACGCAGCGGTGGTGGGTTAGGAAACGGTGACTAGTGTACTGTTTGGTAAAATCAATTCGACTGCTTTTTTTGCAAAAATATTTAACTTATAGCAGAGATTTAATATTAATATGGACTGAGCAGTGGGTAACTGTGGAAATAAAAGACCTACTTTTTACAACAACTTCAATGTTTCTTGTTTTATTGTGAGAAAATGCGCTACAAAAGTGTAGAATTAGTTTGAATTAGATGTTTAATTTACGCTAACCTACGTCTATTACCTTCCTAGGCAATTCATGTTTTTGTGAAAACATACTGAATGTTTTAACGTTCCCAAAATAAGTACCAACTGATTGTAAGATTTTGTTAAAAGTGTATTCGCCTTATAAAGGAGACACTTTTATCCTAAAATCATTTAACATTTGCATTTATTTACTCTTTTAGCTTGGTTTATTTACGCTCGTTACAACTACAATTACGTCACTTCCGAAACTAACAGCACTACCGGCTATTCCTGCCAACACTGCTGTATATACATGTTTGCCGTGATATATATATTTTTACATATAAGTGTTGTAACACCAATAGTTAGAGATATAGATGAAACCCGGAAGTCAACCGTAGTTTTTAAAACTGCTTCCGTCACGGGGGTTTCATCCGCTTACATCACCAGCCTTCTCCGCGTTGCTCGAATGTCATTGGCTAAAAGGACGATCGTGCTCGTTTTCCATTGGTTTTCTAAAAAGAAACAAAACCTCCCGTAACATCGGAGGTGGAGATCTTAGGTGTGTTGTGGTGTGCGATGAGTGTGTAGTTCAAAGTAGAGTTTTCCTTCAACACTTTTAATCAGGTGCCATTAAAGGAAGGATCATGAACAAGTTATTCGCGCCGCTGCTTCAGCTTTCGTTGCTGGGACTCGTTTACACCTGGAATGATGGTACGTCATTTTGATGTTTGTTTGTTTTCTGTGGCTTCCTGACATTATCAGTGACAGCCGCCATGTTTTAAAACACTTTTACTGTACCTGTCACTGAACATATACTGATAATTAGTACGTCGAAGGCGTATGATATAATCGTCATATATATCAACCTAATGCGGTGTTGAAGATTGTTGGTCCCTATTAGCTTTTGCTTCTCTATCCTCATTCAATGTGCAATCGATTACATCAGGGATGTCAAACTCAAGTTCACCGTTTAAAAACTGGGACGAAGTCGCGGGCCAAATGTAATATTTATCTGCATGTTTTCCCTTCTCTCCAGATATGTAATGTAGAATTTTTCCATACGGAAACAAAGTTTAGGTTTTGCGTTGAATCTGAAACAACCAAAGCTTAATATTATAAACACATGAGAAATTAAATTACATCAGTAGTATTTGTTTCTTTTTTTCACAGGCCAACAACAAAAAAACAAAATGTATGTTCTGTAACAAGCGCATGCACTGCTAATACTACAAGTGCTGTAGTACGGGCCAAATATAATTACACTGCGGTCCAGATTCGGCCCCCGGGCCTGAGTTTGGCACATATGGATTCCATGTTGATAATTCTGAAACAAATATGAATTTTGAAAATTAGAATATAAATATGTTAACACCAGTCAACCCATACAACATACTGTATGTGAGAATTTGCCAGACGATTTGCATATGTACCGACTGTTTTTCTTGCCTCTCGTTACAGACAGTGTGCTACTGAGGGATGTCCAGGTGTTGACCCTTTACAAAGGTCAATTCACCCGAGCCAGGCGTTCCCAGCCCATCCCTCAGCTTCAGTGCGTTGGTGGCTCCGCAGGCTGCCACACATTTGTCCCAGAGGTGGTCCAGTGTCAGAACAAAGGCTGGGACGGTGTGGACGTGCAGGTTAGTCGGGAAGCATTTCCATAGAAAGCCAAAGAAATGCATTTTCGATAAAAATTAGATTAAACAAATTAATTTAAATTTAAAGGTTTTAAGGCCCTCTTGCTTATTTGCAAGATGATATTAGCTTTAGGGATGTCCGATAATATCGGCCGACCGATATTATTGCTCCGATATTATATAATATCTGTATTTACTGTTCGGTTTTACTGCCGATGATGAAAATTTGATAATACAATGCCTGGGTTTTTGGAAAAGCTATAGAGTTTTTGGAGGTAAATGGGTGCATATATCGATTGATATTGGATTCAGAAATCAAGTGTTTGGACAGTGTCTGATATTAGCAAAAAGTTAATATCCGACATCTCTAATCATCTTGTCAACAAATTTTCCCAAAACAAAAACCAAAAAAATGTCAACTGAAGTTGCCCGTGTCCTTCCTTTAGTTAACTGCTGCTTCCATTTACAGTGGGAGTGTAAGACTGACCTGGACAACTCGTATCGGTTTGGTCGCATTGAAGTGAGCTGTGAAGGCTACAACCACCCCACTGATGCCTACGTCCTGAAGGGCTCCTGTGGACTGGAGTACACACTGGAACTGACAGAGGAGGGACGGAGGAGGACACAGGGAAACAGCTGGGGCTTCGGTGGTGGCTTCAAGGGATTTAAGGGTAGGTGCAATAAGTCTCTTTGAAGCATTATTGTTTAACCGCACTCATGCGTACAATATTCTCTTCCGTTTGGCTTTGTCAGATCTCGGGGGCTTTGCCTCAAATTTCTTCAGCGGTTCCCCCAGAAACAACCAGCAGCAGCAGCAGCAGCAGAGCCATCGGAGCTCGTTCCCGTCGCGCAGCGAGTACTCAGGAGACCTGCTGGTGGTTGCTTTTCTTCTGCTGTTAGCTTTCGGCGTCTACAAGCTCTTCCTCAGTGGGAACACAACTCAGTGGGGACAGGGCGGTGAACACGCTGGCTACCCCAGAGACTTTCAGCACGGTGCCTCCGCAGGGCCTCCCCCTCCAGGATTCAAACCCGACTTCACAGGTACTACGGCGTCGTACTCGTTTCAGTTGAATGAAAAGATGTGGCTAATTTTACGACACTGGAAAATCGTGTTAAAATAAATAAAACGTGTGTATAAATAATACATTTTTAAAAAAGCAGCTATTGTACTAGTGTTTTTTGTTGTTGTTTTTTAAGGATACCTGACACACGATGTCCAGCTGGTGGCACTCAAAACACCACAGAACGCATAGAGATCTGCTTCGATGTTTGATAGAACCTCAACCCTGTTCTTCTTATTGCTCAGGTCACACTGGTGCCAACCCAGGTTATGGGTTCAACAGTGACTACACACATGGGCAACACTTCCCCAGGGGTGGACTTAATGCTGGCAGGGGCGGCGGCGGCGGCGGTGGTTTCTGGACCGGCTTAGGGACAGGCGGGATGCTGGGATATCTGTTTGGTCGACAGAGGTTGGTGAGGTGTCAGTGAATACCTCCTCTTTCATCAGACCTGGAACTCACTGCTTCTTTCTGTTTCGTCTGTGTTGAGCAGAAACCAAGGGCACAACTACAACTACTCCACCTACACTGACTACAGACCACCTCAACCTTTTCCTCCGACACAGTCTGCTTCCTCCTCCTCCCCCTCTTCCTCTGGGACACGCACTGCTTCAGGTACGCGGGTTATTAGGTGATGTGTTTATCATTAGGAGGTCGGGGGTTTAATTCCAGTCTTTGTTAACTGCCAGGTTTTGGAGGAACCAAGAGAGTTTAATTCCAGCCTTTGTTAGTCCACATGCCCATGTGTGTCTCATTGACTGCCAGGTTTTGGAGGAACCAAGAGAAGATAAGGAGTGCGGTGGACGTAGCGGTGAACCGACCTACTCTTCGGGCGTGCAGAGTGCAAAACTAGCACGGAGGAGGACGTCTTTCGTATTTTTTATAACAGTTTGTAATGGTTTAATTTAGGTTGTCCGATATCAAACTTTTGCCGATATAGTCCGATTCCGATATCAACCAATACCGATATATGTAGCCATTTGGGTTAAAGCAGTGGTTCTCAATAATTTTGTCATGCCCCCCCCTCCACTCTCTGACCCACTCCCCGGCGAATTGAAATACTTTTGAAAACCTGATAACGTACTGATAACATGTCTGCATAAACCACTGTATGAGTTGCTGCCACCTAGTGACTGGAGGCTTGTTATCATTCAAGCATTACAGCAGTGGTACACTTACGTCCAGCGTGCCATATTCCATTGGAAGCCCCTCACGGGGCCCGCCCCACTATTTGAGAATCACTGTGTTGTTTACCTCAAAACTATTTTTAGGTCACATCATCCCGGCCAAACCTGGACATTGCGTTATCGGGTTTTCATTATCGGAGGAGAAAAACGATACGTTTCTTTCTTTTGTTTTTCTCTTTTTTTTTCCATTAAGCTAATATCGGCCGATAGTAATGGTCGGCTGATATCATCGGACATCCCTAGTTGTAATGTGGTCATTTGTTTGCAATGTTCAATAGTCTGAAAGTGAGCTTTCATGTTGTTTCCTTTTGACTGTGTATTTATTTATCCCCTCTATGTTGTCATAATGAGATTGATCTGAAACGGAAGGCTTTTAAATGCTTCTTTTGTCAGACAGCATATTTTTCATTCGGGTTCTATCCAAGGGTTGTTTCTCTGCCCTGGGTGGTTTTCTGTTTCCTGTAAATGGATCTGTGTCCATGTTGGTGCATTTACAGCAGACACTGAGCTATTTATCTGAGTTAAATTTGAAGGATTATAATGGCAAACGTGAAAACATCCAGACACTTATCAACTACTCGGGTGTTTTCTCCGGGTTTTTATCAATAGTTTTTTCTGTCACAATAAGTAGATCACTCTGCATACAGACTGTCGGACATTCTTCACTGTTCATCATTTAAAGTTAAATCCATCAATTGGAACTTTCTGCAAGCAGGAGGTGTATATATATATATATATATATGACATTTGAAGAAATAATTAAAATGTTAAAAAAAAAGAATTCTTTTTGCTTCATTTATTTTGATCTTGCTTTAAAAACTGTAATGAGATATTTATGTGTTTATGTACACATCAGAACAATTTATAAAAACAACAGTTGCGTCTCTAGAAAATCCTCCATTTGATTCTAAATATTTTTATCTGCCTGGGTTTCCAACAGGAAATTTCTTGGTTGAATTCTGGAGGATGTACGTATATGGATTGATGCTTGATTTAAGCTGAAGCAAAGCTTCGTTGATTTCAACAGGTTTCTACTGGTTAAGGTTAGTTCAAATGTGATCTCAAAAGAGTTGTCATCGAGTCTCGGTTACAATTGTAACAAGATAAAAAAAATGCAATATTTTGAGTCTAAATGTGTATCGTTGTTTTTAGAAGCTTCTGCTGGGGCTGTTGAAACCGCTGGTGTTGGTCCCTCACTGCCGCTGTACGTCTCTCTTCTGATGGGCTCTGTGTGTCACCGACGACAGAAAACGGAAGCTGAAGTGAAACTGCAGCACGTCACACACTTTGGACCAGAAATGTCCGGTAAACCGTTGAAACAGTGGGTACCGGGCGAGGCGGGGGG